GGTTTTAACTGTGAAATACGAAGGCAAAAATATCTGCTATTAGGTTCAATTCTCCCCCTAAAGCTCTTAATGTACATCAAAAAGAATAATATCTATCCTACTGATGCCAAAATACATGTGTTTAAAAGGTCAAGTTAATTACAGAAAATAAATTAATTCCAACTACTAAAGTTACATAAACACTGAAAAGAACAGGAAAGTAAATTTATACCAAAGCTGATTGCAAGGAAACTGGTATCAGGATAAAATTAAAGCTCAGTTACTTCTAACTACCTGAATTTTATTTTAAGGCACACAAAAACTGGCAAAGTAAAAGGTTACTCCTGTACTGGAGTTTATGTAAAAAATTAATCAGAAGAGAAAATCTATTATTCTGGGCACCGTACAAACAAAATCATCCTATCTTTAAAAAAAAAAACCCAACCAAACAAAAACTAAACCACCTCCCCCTGGGTCAAGCCTTGTTTACAGAGAGGAACTTGCAGGCAATTCCTATACACAATCCCTTAAATAAGGAACAAATAAGACTTGGATAATTCTCCAGGATACAGTAGCACCTAGGTTTCTGTATAGAATAGTTCCAGCCAAAAAAAAAAAATTACTCAGTTTAAAATTATTTTTGAAGATCCTGTAACACATATCATATTTCCACAAAACAACTACTTTAAAATACTACTTCTTCCATCAGACATTAGGAAGTATTACAGAAATACCTGAAGTGCAACAAAAACCATGTGGCTGATTAGAACTCTCAGGTTCACTTGTAACCAAAACGAGAGAGCATGTACTTGAAATAACAAGTCACATTTTGCTCTCTTTACTTTGGATGTTTAAGAAAGAAGCCTGCAGAATGTATCCACATGGTCAGATTATTCAAGACATGACTAGTAATGCTCTGTTACAGTTTTATTTTCATAAAACTGGAATTGATATCATGTCCTAAGGTTTAACTTGCATCCTTGGATGTCTGTGTCAGAACACTGAACAAAACAATTTGCTTGTAAAGCACAGTTTCTGCTAAAATACAAAATAAAGCCCTTTGACTAAAATTAGGTTTTAGCTGTAAAAACACAAGTCTGTGACACGGGTGTGTCTATCAGCTGGAAGACAGCTACTGCACTAGCAATGTTTTTTTATAAAGCATCTTAATAACATTTCATTGGGAAGATGTTATCACCTGCTCCAGAAATAATCTCCTGTACCTCTATATCCTGCCAGATAAGAACAAAGTTAAATAAAATAGTTTACTGATCTGGGGCCATTTTACCCTTCCAGAAAGATCCTGTTTAGATTTTGATACAGTCAATCGTTTTCGGTGCGAAAGGTATTTGTGGCTATGTTAAAAATGAAAGACCATTTCAAACCATCAGAAGAAGACACTACTCCTTATTTGATAAAAGTATAAAGAAGGATAAAAATATATATATACACACACACACATTAACACTAAGTGTTTAAAAGAATATGCAGTCAGTCTTTGAATCACAGAACGGTTTGGGTTGGAAGGGACCTTAAAGACCATCCAGTTCCAACCCCCCTGCCATGGGCAGGGACGCCTTCCACTAGACCAGGTTGCTCAAAGCCTCATTTGTTTGTTTGCTTCAAGCTGTGAATCACTGGTTTATTATTAAACTAGTTCTATAAATAAGCAAATAAATAAAATTGCCCATTTATCCTATGGAGTACAAGGAAAAAGGCTGAAAGGAGGGTTTTTTCCTTCAATTCTTTCCTACTGTCTAATATTACAAAAGCTGCAACAAACCAGTATGCATGCCCATTAAAACCTTTACCTAATAACTTCCTTATTTTGCTTTTTGGATTTCTTGGTAGTCTCTGCTTGTACAGGAACAACTTCAGGGACAGGTTCCTCAACTGCTGTGTCTTCATCGCCCAGAAGAGCTGCCTGCTGAGAAAAATCCATGTCCTGCATAAACGACATGCTGCGCTTCAAAGCTAACAGCCGTTCCTAGAATCAGAAAGGACAGAGCGGCAGGGACTTAACCTTTCCCTCATAGCCAAGATGCTATGATAATGGGATGGGATGGGAATGGCCATGGCCTTATTTTGTTCTTAATGTCTCGTTTCCAATGGCGATGCAACATGATTTGGTCATAGTAGCATGGCATCAGAATTTCTGCAGCCCAACTATCAAGAGAGAAACAAACAAACAAACAAAACTGCATATGCAAAGACAACTGCCTATTTTACACAGAACTTACCATAACTGAAACACACACGCAGCTCACCAAAATAACTTCATTTTACAAGCAAACAGTTGTATTTGAGTAAAAAGTGCATGTGCGCCTGAAACCCCTCAAACCAAACCTCCCGCACACCCACCACCATCCAAAAAAAAAAAAAGGCAGCTTTCCTGTTTATGCAGAAATAAAACTTAAATGAAATCTTGTCAAAGTTTCAGCCAGAAGCAATATTTTACAGTGAAGTTTTGTATATCTGGACCTTAACTGCTTCCACTGAGGCCAGTGGAAGAAGCTCCTACAGACTTCAGTGGTGCAGATGTGGTTGAGAAATAAGGGTGTGGTTATAACAAGGATGCTGCCAAGCCTTTAAATATAGCAGCACGAACAGACACTGCTATAATAAATCACAGAGGAATGAAATCACATTTACCATTCTTATTAATTACATTCAAGTATGACCTAAAAAAAACCAGCCCCAAAGAGTTTCTGCTTTTTGTTTTTAATGGGTTTCTTACTTTGCTCATCATCTTAAAGCCTGTGTGCAGTATCTTCTTGGCTAGCTTGTAATACACCGTATCAGGTCTGTTGTAAGTCATAGCATTATCACACATCAGTTTAAAATCTGCCTGTAAAATAAGAAGCAAAGGAACTGTTAAAATTTCGAACACCTGTGTTCAATGACTGCAAGATACCATTCCACCGTGGCAGCTCCGTGCAGAACAACACAACGTTTTAGCACCAGGCTCGCGGAGTAAATGCAAGCCAAATGGTAACACAGAACTGTAAAGGTGTGAGCCCTTTTTGCTTCTTCAAAATGCTCCGTTTTGTTTGGAATTGGCTTTTTCGTTATAAAAAACAAAGCATTTCCCCAAATGTAACATTACGCAAACAGACCAAACAGAAGAAATGGAGAAACTGATTGAAGGACTGAGGCACCAAGGTAAGTACTTTTAAGTGTTTTTCCCACATTCTGAATCAAAATAGACTTGAGACATACAATGACATCAGAAAGATACAATGTATCTTACATATGATTTTAATTCTAGTAATTTGACCGCTGCTTCGGTCACTTGCACTAAACTAAAGAAAAACAGAAACCAAAACCAAAAACTTCAAAGTAGAAGAAACAGCCTTTGAGATGCTCATTGCATGGAACAAAAACCCAAAATGGCCAAGCCTGATTTGTCTTCTCCTCAGAATGGTTATCTGTCATACATAATTTCAATTAGTTTTTAAAGGTTCCCAAAACAAAGGTGCAACACACTTCACTGCAAACAGAACCAAAAAAAGATTTGTTGCAGGTTGCAAGAGCTTTTTCTAGGGTGCCTTTCTTCTAGTCACATGCTACTGATCTGTAGACACAGAAACCATTATTAGAAGCTCTATGAAACATAAAATTAAAAAGACATTACTATATGCCCCTAAAAATTTCTGAAGTTAGCAAAACTATGAATCATGCAGTAGCCTCTCCAGGCACCTGACAAACTGGATCCTAACAAATTAAACTGGCACCTGACTTAGGAACATATTTTTCTCTTAGTAACTTTTCTAGATTTAAACAATGATTATTCAAGCAAATACATTTCACTTATTCTCTAGACACAAATGTAAATGTGCACGAGTCTACTATATATTCCATCTGCTGGAGGGTAGAAAAGCTCTTCAGATGTGTCCGGACAGGATGTGTGGAATAATTGCTGGAGGTGACTTGGAAATTAAACTTATATTCGCATTTTAAGAAAAGGCAGAGCACTGAAGAGACTTCCAGGGTGGAGTGCAGCCGATATGCAGACAATCTGTACCACGGTAGCTCCCTGGACAACCCCAGATGTTGGCATCACCAGGGGAACGTGCTGTGCTGACTCTAAGAGGAACTGCGTGGAGGGTGCAGGGGAGACACTGCAGCCAGGCTCTGTACTGACAGGGGAACGTGAAGGTATCCATCGTATGGAAGTGATAA